GGAGAATAAGTCAATATTGCTTTCAGATTGCAGATGTGTGGGAAGGCTGCCTGGGCGATGGCAGCATTCTTTTGATATTTGAGTCTGTAACTAACTACCCTGGAAGCCAGGCACACCAATTGAATTTACAAAACAACGAATTAGTTTAGAGACTGATATAAAAAACTGGGTGTAGAATAAATGTTGCGATGCAACCCGGCAGAGCAGCTGGTTTGTGATCACAAGCCCTGATTACGATTCAGCGCGTAGCCATTTCCACCGGCAAGGACCAGCTTTTCAATACTGCCTAAACAAGTTTGCAATAGCTTGCTTTTCAAATGAAAAATAAAATTAAAAAGCTAATCAGACACCTCCCAACAAAAAGGCACATTCAAAATCCACAATGACCTGCTCCAAGGCCTTTAAACAACCAAACTAACCAAACTAAGTGGACAGCCAACTCCGCCCGCGAAAACACGTGAAAAGCTGTATGATAGCCTTGGTGAAAAGCGTGAAATGTCGGAAACGTAACATACGCGCTGTAATGGGCAGCTCGATTCCCATGCATTCGCAGTAAAGAATCAACGGTGGAAGTTCCCCCCTTCGACCAATCATACATTTACAACATTTTGTTCAGCGAATCAGGGGGCAGAGACGTCGAGACATTGAGTGACATCTTCGACTGGCACCTCTTGGCTCGTGGCAAGGCCACCTATGTTTGCGTCGCAATGGTCGCCGTCGTAACGTAAATTGGGAAGGACCGTGAGGAAGCTGTGCCCGTGATATCACCGAAATGGGATAGTGGTTGGTTGTGAGTGTCGTCATGTGATATGTCTGTTGTCAGTCCTTTGTTACCTGCATTAATGCTTCCATTGGTTCGGATGCAGTGTTTACCCTGGTGGTGGATTCAACCAATATGTTGTGAATAATGCAGATCCCTGGCAACTTCGGGGCTCGCCCAGTCCTGGGATGCATATGCGTGGAGGATAGTCGCCTCATACCTACTCCGGAGTTTTGTGTTAGCCGGGATCGTGAGTGTATGGTTGAAACATGAATGTTTCTTAACCTCTGCTTACTCCCTGCAATGGAGGCTGGAGAAATTATGCTGGGCCTGATACTTGCCTGGCCAGAGGCAAATTTATGTTGAAGATATATGTTCCTTTGTCATCATAGACTGTTCTCATACTGTACAGTCCAACCTTGTTAAGCTCAATTGCTCATTTAGTTTGAGTGCCTCCCTTTTAATCCACCATTCCAGAGTGGGTTGGGTTTAAGTAACTTAAGGTGCCAATACCATCATACTTACACCACCCATAGATACCATTTATCATAAGATGAACCACAACCTCTGTGCCTACTATTTGAGCTTGATCATATGATGAACTGCTACTTCTTTTTCAAGCTCTTGACATGTCTTTATGATTGCTGCTTTTTTGTTTTTGTTGTGTAACTGGTATCCAATTGACTCAGGTGAAATATGAAGTCACACATATAGGATGATTTGTGGTGAATACCTCATAAACATAGCATACATGACATGACTCTTTGCCACTAATGTAATATCCCCTGCTGCCATGTGGTTGTTTCTTGTCCCACATTATGTGTGGGCTGTTGGTCTGTGGTACTCATGCTGACTTAACTACACCACATTCTGTCTGACTGCACCATCTCTCACACTGCTTGATCTACTTGTCAGTGACTCAATGCACGTCACATGCCAAGACATCTTAAATGTCTTGCTCTGGACTTCTTTTCTACACATTGATAGGTGATTGTGGGTGATGCTAATATGACACAGTGAGACTTGTTAGAGTTGGAAGTCCATGTTAGATTTAGTCAATTCAAGTAATTGTGTTTTATTACAGGCAATGGCAGATTTTGGCATCAGCACCCTGTCAGCCTCCCAGCTACCCCTTCTAGGAACTACACAGACATCTCCAAGGAAAACAATATGGAGGGTGAGTTTCATAAATATCTTTTTTTCTGTAGAGTGTCAGCCACATACTAGTTATGGGCATCAGCCACACACATAGATATGCAAAGTATGCAAAGGCTGTATTAGTGTATTGTGTGGATCCAGGCTTAAATAGTGTTAGATTGTTTTGAAATGTGATATGGGAAATATAAGGCACTTTGCCCTGGGAGGTTTCAAAATGTTTTGCCTTATTCTGACAGGTTTTGTAACTTTTGTTGACCTTTAGTTTGAAGTGCCGGTCTTGCTTTAAGGCTTACTTGTTTATGTTATGAATCAAATTAATATTGGGCATACACTAGAATAACATGAGAATTAGTTCTTCATTCTAGTCAATCTCATTTATTTTTTGATAATTATTTCTTATATAGGTTGCATGGAGACCCCAAATACAGGTACTGTTCATTCAGCTGCCCCACAGGCAAGAATTGCAAGAATGGTGTAATTATGTGTCTACAAGGTGGAACAAATGGTTTGGAAATTGTGAAAAAATGTTATTCAGATATATTGCAAGCATTGAAGCAACCATCTCTGCCCGATTTTCAATGAATTATGGATTCTGTATAATATGAAAAGTCTGTAGGCTGCTGCATTTTATTGAGCACATGCTTTTACAGAATGCATTACTCAGGCACTGATGCAGATAGTTTTAGGCAGCTAAAACCAATCTTGTCATTAGACCATGAGTGAACCATCAGGCTGGTGCCCAAATCACCAAACTGTGTATTCAGAAAAGATTGTCCTGTCATTGGTCAACAGCCAGTACCTTAAAGAAGGGTGACTAGCCTCACAGAGAGTTCAAGTTCATTCTTTTGCTGGACATAGGTTGGTGTGAATGTAGCTCATAAGTCCTTTGTTGAACCTTGGACAGAGTCCCTATTTTAGCTGTGTCAGGGATGATGTGGAGACCACATTACACACATACCATGGTGCTATCTTTTCAGCGATGGAATCAACTATCTAGGCTTCAAAAGAACATGGCATGTTTGGTGCTGGTCGCGGTCACATTGGTCGTCATTTACGTCCTCTCACTGGAACACGACTCAAGTGTAAGTGGACCAGTGGGATTTTGTGTGTCCTGTAAAACTTCCGGGCTGGTTCGCGGGGCCTGTGAAGTGCGGGGTGGTCGGTGGAGGCGCGTGCTCGTCCCGTTCGCACAGTGGCGTCACACCGTCGGTGTTCATGTGTGGTGGGAGTCACGTCCGTGGGACCCGCTCAGCTGCTATTGTCCGCCATTCCCTGCACAGTGTCTGTCAAAAGCGACCGCACGGCCTGCCATGATCCCCAGCTGGCCACGACCCACGCTCTCGCTCTGGTAGTGCCGTCGGCGGGTCAAACACTTCTCGCGTGTCACAGACCATTTGTGTATGCTTGAGCTTTAACCCGGGGCTTTCACTCCTCTGGTGCACGTGGCAATGCCTGGCGAGCTCGGCCCTCGTGTTTTCAGGTTGAAACATCCACATCGAAAGCCAACGATGTGCGGGATGCATTGGAAAACGTGCCGCCGGCTCTTGCTCCGGACGCGGCGAAGCCCGCAGAGAAGAAGCTCGTAAGTCGATCATACTGCCACCTGGTGGTGCGCGGCTTGGCACCTCCCGACGGCCTTGGGCGCGTGGCACCGCTTGTCGGCGTAACGTCCCCGGACAGGGCAGTGAACGGGCGGTCTTGTTTTGAACGTCTCGTGTGCAGTAGAGAGTTTATGTCTTCAATATTCCATCAATGAACATGTTTTAAAAGCTGTGAAGTGTATAAGTACCACGTGCCATGACATGTGACACTGACCCTGCCGCCATGTACGACACTTAAAGCTTGCAATTACCTCTTATGCTTTCTTCATCAGCTTAAACCATAGCGCTGCAGTTTTTACCAAGGGAACAGGTGCCTCCTTGAATTGTTCCAGGGAGTGTTCACATTTTATAGGACTGAACTGAAAAGGCCATCTTGAAGATTGTTTGGTACAGTTCAGAGCCTTCCTTTCTTAAGATCTAAATCTCTCTTGTTTCTGAGCTACGTGCCTGCGATGATGTGCGGACTTTTTCGTGCAGACTATTTCATGGTCATCCAGGCATCCATGACACCATAATGGTATCATTCAAACCTGCCATTCCAATGATGATGCAGCAATCAAGATCAAGAAAATATAACTCATAATATAACTAGTATAACAACAACATAATATAACAATATAACTCATTAAAACCAGTGATTCATGTTTTACGTGCGCGGGGACGATTTCCGGACGTGTTAATTTATCAAAGTGAGTGGTACATTTTTAAAGTTAATGTACATATCCACAGCAGTTACATGTGGAAGCCTGTCAGTTTGCACCAGCTTCTTAAAGAAGAAGAAAAACTTTTGTGAAATAGGAGGGATACAGTTGCACCTCTCTCTTACATGCTGAGGTGTAAAATCCGCGTAGAATGTACCATTCCGTGCAAAGGTAACCTTTATTTATTTGGTTATCTGCTTACAAGAGTGATCTGTCCATAGCACATGTGTCTATCGCGTCCCGCCTACACTCACGTTCTCGACACGCCAAAATTTGATTGGCAAACAGATGCATTTCAGTAACGTGAAACAAGACATAAGGTACTCCTTCACTCATCATTCGAGACAGTGGAACAACCTTTCTTCAAATATGCTGAGGTAGATGCCCTTCCGTTGGGAATGTCTTACCCGCTCGTTTTAATGAGCAAGCATTGCAAGCCTGCTGCACCCCTGGGGTACACTGTCCCAAGCTCCTGTACCTCTGGACGGAGAGCGTCCTTCTCCCGATTCAGTTTGAACGCGTGGCGAACGAAACGCCCGTCATGTCAATGTCATGCGTAATGCAGGTTGATTGAAACAGCGTTTCTACTTGAGCTGACTCTTCATTGACCATGCGATTACACTTCTGTGCGCATACTCGGTGCTCAATGAGCTCACCCACGCTCAGCCAGCCTTACTACCTCCGGAGTTCGGGGAGGACCCCCCAGATGAATAGGAAACTACACTCCTGCTCCAATACGTTTCCCCGGTCTATCTCAGCGGGCAATGTTGTCTTCAGGCATCATTTTATTTTTATTTTTTTTTGGGGGGGGCTCGGTGATTGAAAACACAATTTGGTATCCGACCTAGAGTCGATGTTATGCAGCTTTGGACGTCGTTGGACGCGGATGGCATGGGGAATGAAGGGTGAAGGTGATGTGCGCGGCTAAAAAGCTGCCACAAAGCTCTCGGTAGGTAGCCGTGAGTCGGGCTTCGGGCTGCAACGCGACATTTGCGACAGGGATGTGCGAAACGCGTAGTGTTTTTTCTGATCATTGCTGGGCGATTACCACCATAGGTTAAGTCATGTGGTGGTGGTCGCCAGGTTTCCGTACCTGCTTCATCGAATACTCATGTCTAAGTGGAGGTGGGCACATTTCAAAGGTTCTTCTGATCGTAGCGGCTGATAAATTCGTCCCGTAGTTTGGTGGTTACATCCGACAGGTTAATTCTCCGATGGCATGTGGCAGAATA